TAATCGGTTAACTCGGCAAAACCGGTTATAATAGTTAATCTTGTGTCGCACTAAGTGTTACACATGATTTATCTTAATTTTTAACACGCGATAATTTACTGATCATATTGTAACCGGCAATTTGATATAATTAAATTTTTACAGGCAAAATAAAAAAATTTAAGTGAAAGAAAAGTTTTTGGAAAAGAGAAAGTTTTGCGAAATAAAAGGTTTTGCGAAAGAAAAGTTTTGCAAAAGAAAGGTTTTGCGAAAGAAATGTTTAATGAAAGAAAAGAATTGTTAAAATAATCATTATAAATAGTTAATTACATGCTACAGTAATTATGATGACGTGTAGTTCTAAGCAAAGTCAACCAGAGTGAAATCTTTTTCTTTTGTATAGCTAATATTTGATAGTGCTCTAAGGTTACAGGTGGGTTTTAGCAACAATTTTTTTTATTAATAAAATGTTTGAAAATAAGGTACTTTAAAAACTACCTTCAAGTCTCTTCTAGATCCATTTTAACAAAAATTCGCTACTAAGCTAACATTACTTAAATTGGAGATTATTGGAGATTATTTTTAAAGGTAGTGTTCTGACACTTTAGCGAAGCAATCAATATGAAATTTGGCGCTCTTCTGTTAGTAACATTTGATTTCTTAAAGAGTACTTTAAAGCATATAAATAAGCCCGTTTCATTAGCAAATCAGATGAATTTCTTCTTACGAATTTTCTCACTAATTCTCATTGGACGGATAGAAATTCTGCTTTTGGTTGGATGAAATAGATCTCACCAAACTTAAAAATTTTTTGATTCGATCAAATAACGGAAGTAGCGTTGAAACAGTATAAAGATATAATAGGACATATACAGTATACCCTCCCAAAACCGATCCTGTCAAAATTGATAACCTGTTATACCTGATAAAACATTGATCAACCATGTCTGTTCCATAATTCAAGCCCAATAACCTGCAATTTCTGATAACCGATACTCAAAATATCGGGTTTGTCGGGTATTATAAATCAATTTGATTTGCTCAGATCGAGCTTTGTGTGACCAAGTAGATATATAATAAATATAATCTAGCCAATTATATTTATTTATAATCATGTGACCAGTGAGCCTAAATCCGATAACCTCTCCAAAAGTGTCCACCATGCCTATCAGATTTGAGAGGGTGTACTGTAGTATACTAAATTTTAAAAACTTTTTTTTTTGTTAGAACACGTAATGAGTTTGATAAAAATTTTAAGTTACTGGGAGATTCTTGATTTTTTTTTTTTAAAAAAAAATTTTGCACTACAAGATCTTATAATTTGATTGGTAGGCGAAGAATAGCGCAGTCAATTTGTTCAATCAGAGGCGGAATTGGTGGATCCTCGTCGAACTAGAAAAAAGTGTCAAATAGTAATGGCATAGTACCATGACCTCAAAGCTGATCGCTGCTCCAGAACTTGCCAAGGTTACTACAAGTTATTTTGATAATTTTTGCACTTTTAGTTTCAGTGTTATTGAATTTTCGTGATCTCAATAGTGATTTTACGGACGATTGCAATTCCGATTTTGCTAGGAGATTACGATACCGCGCAATTACTATTTCACTCATCAACTTACTATGATTGTGCTTGTCAAATTGTTACACCGTAGCCAAGATTTAGAAATTTCAATAAGGTTAGAATCGATTGATAAGAAATTAAGAATTATTATGATAAATTTTTAAAGTTCATTAAACAAATACTCCATTTTAAAGAAAATTTATTAATTCTTTTGTACCGTTATCGTAATTTCTCTGTGTAATTAAGTCACGAACCTTTTGAATCGATATAATAAAAGTTACTCAAACAATTATGGATAAAACAAAAAAGCGAATAAATGTCAACCATTTCATATGAAGTTTTTAAATAACGACTTTATATATGTATTATGGATTCTATTAACTAAACTAGAAATCACTATAAGGATTGAAAAAGTAGACTTTAATTGTATACCAGCTTCAAGGCATTAAAAATCTGTCGTACTTCACTTGGTTCACGACCATAAATATCAATGAGGAACTTTATTACGACCAGGACACATTATAGCTATATAACCCCAACAAATTTTTAAAATGTCATGAAAAATAATAATATTTACAAATTTTTAAAAGCAAATTTGATATTATAAATAATAAAATATAATGAAAAGGCTGGAGAAAGGGGGAAAGGTCACAATTTTGATTTTGCCTTTAAGGCCAAATACGCCAAAGCTTTTAATACTGGCGGGATCCCTGATCGTAACAATAATGTTTGAACATAAATCACTTCGGCTCTTCATATGGCCTGCATATGAACCAGAAGTAATCATATGTGGCAAGTATGGAGTACAATAGTTCGTTTTAACAAACTTGCCGGATGGCAATTATTGCCCTTTCATTTACCTTATGAAATTCGGGCGATATCTGTTCGCTGAGATCTTCGAGAATATGACTTCTCTTGATCTGACTACAAGGAGTAATTTTTTCTTAAAATAACAGGTGAAATCAGGATCCTCAACGTAAGGCGACTGATCCGAAAAATCGTAATCAGTATTCATTACATTGTTTAGCACCGAATTGATGTTAACATCAATTGCGGTGCATATTGACCTTTCTTTATAAAATGGGTGCTGATATGAAAACTCAGAAACTTGGAACCCTTTCTACTCACAACTAAAAATAAAAATATAATGAGTTAACAAAAAAAAAGGTAAACAAATATTGACGCTTAGTGTATTTACTCACGTTCAGAATCGATCACCCTCCTCTTGGGTCAACAGCATCCTCTTGTTTGTTTCCAACAGCAGATGCAGACAATGCGGCTGCTAAAGCATCATTTACTTGTCTGCCTTCATTAAAATATAAATTGTCATTAATGAATTTAAAAATTCAAAAAAAAAAGAAGATCAAAAATCCATACCATTATTACGCCTATTAATGAACGTAGTAATTTCTTGACCTGATAAGCAATTTCTCCGACAAAAACAATATATTACTACATCCCAATAGCATCATTAGTGCTACGGGCAAAAACAGCCCAACACACACCAGCAAAAAGAACGTTGTCGCGTAATGTTATTCGACAGTTAAAGTGAGGTGGTTATGACTTGGCGGTCTAAAGCTTTAGTTTAATATGTTACACGGGAACAATGTGCGTTACGATGGTCAAAATGGGCTTTATAGGGTTATTTTATGAGCAGAATACTTCAGTTAATGAATAAATTAACTCCAACTTCTTGAAATCTTGAATTTTAATTACAGTGCTAGACAAAAGTTTTTCGCGAACTGGATCGTCTGTTAAGGACTATTACCACTACGGGGCTTTTTATACATTTTTACAGGGAAGAAAAGAAGACTGAAATCAAAGAAATGCCTACGCCATTTCGTTATTCTAGCATTTTCCTCACATTGACAATATTTCCACGGCCACATACTTAACCCGACAAGGTAATATTACCTCGACACCTGTCAAACCAAATCGGGTAAGCATCATCTTCTCAATGGGATCTTCGGCGTAATCATTGATGAGGCTTGGCTTGCCCATACGTTTCACGGTCTTGCTGCAGAGGATCGTTGTTTAAATCTTGTTTGGTTCCAGGGCATCGTTTCACGGTGATTCTCTTGTGTAACGTTCAGGTACAGTCAACCCTCTCTAAGTGCATAGCCTAGGGCCGATAAAAAATCTTGCATTTAGAGAGGTTTTGCATTTAGGGAGGTAAAAATCTATAAGTATCATATGTATTAAGGCCAAGGCAGAACCATGCATTTAGAGAGTCTATGCATTTAGGGAGGTCCGACTGTATCATTTCGCGATAATTTTTTTTAAGGTCAGGTGGTCACGATTTGCCCATAACAATAGTCAATCAGATTATCCCCAATTATATTATGGAGGGTCGAGATTCTTTCGTAACATATTTGACTATATTTGAAGTAATTAGCTTGAGGATTTTTGTTAAAAACGTAATTTGCTAAAAGAGAATATTCTAATCTTGACACGTTCTCCCTAATGTCGTTAACTATTGTAGTGAAATATAAACATTATTATTAATCTCTAATCGAGCTCTGCATTTAAATTTTGATCCGATGTAAATGTTAATCTGATGCATGAAAGATATTTGATTCAGTGCTAAATGATATGTCAAGAATTGCGGGATCTCACGCCACTTTTTGTTTGCAAATCAAATTACAAGATCTGGTGTAACATAAAATTGCAAGAAAAAGAATCGAAGTTTTTTAAAATTCTCAATAACTCAAAATTTTATTTATGAAATCACACCTTTAGTGTCCTAACAAACCAAATTCCTTGCAAAATTTTAGTTAACAAATGTTTTGTTAAACCTTTATACTGCTCTAACGATATGTTTTATTGGTTTAGCATGCGCATTGTTATCGAAAGTTTCAAAGTCTGACGAATATTTTTCATCCAGTCAAAAACAAGATTTCTATGCATCCAATAGGGGCTGGTGGGGAAAATTAGCAAACCCCAAGAAGAATTGCCTGGTCTGCTGTTATTCCTTATTGATATGAAAATATCCAACTATATTCGGTTTCATTTATAAATTAGGGTAGCTGCGCAGCGCGTGACGCTGTGCAGGACCAGTACGATCACCCGTAACATGTTCAAAAATCATGTTCAAGCAACCTATCTAAACTCATAACAAAAGATAAAATAATTTTTATTTCATTAGCTATCAACAGATCCAATTTTGCTAGTCTTTCTGGTTTAAAAACAAACTCTTCAACTTAGAACAAATAAAATAAAAAAGTGCGCTTTTTATTATCATTGCTCGGTCAGATGACTTTATTATCACAGAAGGAAAATACACGGGAATCTGTTTGCTATTAATCAAAGGTACTATGCTATAAATATCGGGATATCTAAATAATACATTCGTTCAAATTAACCATTCACAAATTGCATACTCATAATTACTAAGTAAATATATCGTAGCTTAATATTAATTTAGCCGTTATAAATTCGTACAGGAAAATGTATCCAAGAAGAAATTATAGCTGAAATGAGAATTGCTATATAGCATTATGTAGCACGTGATCGCGACTTATCCGTAGGTTCTTGACTCTACTGCCATGTAATTAATCACCAAACAAGAAGTTCTTACTACAGATCCTAATTATATGATGAGGGTCTTTGTATTGCTATAGTAATAACGAAGCCAAATCGCCAAACAAAAGGTCCTTGCACTGCTATCACCATGAAGTCAAGTCAACAAGCCTGAGATCCTTGCAGCTGCGAAGCCTTATCATCAAACCTGAGATACTCGCACTGCTATTGCAGTCGCAGAGTCTAATCTCTATACAAAAAGATTCTTGCACTATTGCATCACTATCGCCTAATACCAAACAAAAGATTTCTTGTACTAGTACATAATCACCAAACAAAAAGTTCTTGCAGATGTAAAGCTTATACTGTTATCACAGTCGTGGTGTCTAATCATCAAATTGCACTACTATTGCCATGGAGCCTACTTATGAAATAATGAATCCCTGTTACTGTGGAGCCTAATTACAAACATGAGGTCATAGCATTGCTTTCATGGTTTCAAAACCTAATCACAAAATAAATGGTTCTTGTACTATTATCGCCATGGAGTCCAACCACAAAAGCCAAAGATTCTTGCACTGCCATCGCAGCCGCAGAGCCAAACAAGAGGTTCTTGCATTATTATTGCAGCTGTGACACCCAATCGCCAAATAAGAAGTCCTTGCATTGCTTGCAATGATCACGGAGTCCATCTGCACTTACTAATACTGACTAAACAAGTGACAATATAATACCCTTAGTTTATGAGTCACTGGCAATAGAGCCAGTCTTCACTAGGCGAACGATAGCGAAAAGATAACCTTCTCATAACTATAGTAATTCAACTTCAATAATCATATGTAATCACACAATATTAATCAAAAAAATATTTGCATCTAGCAGGGCAAAATAAGAATCATGGCAAAAAAAAATCATTCACCTTAACGAGCTTCTCAAATTACTATGACCCCGATAATTGTTTCTCACAAAAAAATCTAAAGAATTTGATGCCTTTTTATAAATAAATCTAAATCTAACGAGTTTATATTATTTCACTAATAATTACTTTAAAGACACTATATTTATTGACACTTATTTCAGTCTGGGAATATACCAAATTTGGTCATCGATGATCTTACCTTATTTGGTAAATGATCATCAGTCGGATG